GTCTATATAAAATGGTATCTATATGCATATAAATTATGTATACAAATTGTATATAGATATATACATTAAAATATATCTACATACAATATGTATTATTCTAAAGATTTAGAATAGAATTATGATATAATGAACATAATTTTGTGTATTAATTAGTTGATATTTATAAAGAAGTTTAACGTATGTATAACGTAAGTCATAGTCATATATAGGTGTACACATACGCGTGCACGGAATTATAAACTTCTCTAATGTTATAATCTTCGTTATTAACATATTTAAAACATATTCAATAATGATATTTATATTAATATTTAAAAATATATTAATAATTTAAAAAATATGTTCCTAAAGTTACACTCCTTCCTGTATGCTCTCAGGGAATCCCATGTCCCAAAGTATGAATAAATTGCACCCCTCCCCTCTTCTCTCTCTCTCTCTCTTTCTTTCTCTTTCTTTCTCCATCATTCCATGCGTGTGCATTCGCGCACGCCGCATCGGCGGAATGCCACGCATCACCAACCACGAATCAGTCAACCTCGAGAGAGAATCAGGTGTGGAACAAATGAATTCGCGACGGGGGAGGCGGATCAGTCAGCTCCTTAATCTCGCGGAAGCGAATGCTTCTTTTGTGGAGGACGGACTCGTAAAGCAGGGCATTACCGTTCAACGTCATTTCTGCTTCGATGCTAAAGTTTGAGATCATTTACTTACGCAAAAGGATAAAAGAGATCGATGGCCTCTATACATCTTAAACCTATGGAAAGGGGTTCATATTTCAGTTATTCATATTAAATACTATTGAATATTATGAATAACATTTGTAGAATATATTGTAAGTTAATTTTTAAAAAAGTTAAATTTTAAATTTGAAACGGAATAATAATCTACAATTGCATATAATAAATGTATTAATAATAATATTAAAAATTCAATAATATTTTTCTTATACATAAAGAAAATATTAAGAAATTTTTATAATAATCCTCATATTATAGGAATATATTAAAATTAAATATAATATAATAATCCGTGTGTATGTCATTTTCTTTATGGTGAAAATTTAATAGAAAAATATATGTGTACAAATGCATTCATACATTGTGTACATACATATAAATTTTGAGAAAAACTTTTGTTCATTTGGAATGGAACGGAAACATAAAATGATTAAAATTGCGCCGACATCGAGCTGCGAAATCGAGTATTATTAGTACTGCAAGAACAGAGATCGAATATAATTCCAAAGGGAAATGTTTTCAATTATCCACTGATAATTAAACCTGTTTTTATTTACGACTTTTATTTTATAAAATTGTAATATATGTACTATAACAGAGGACGATTTAAACAAAAATGCAAAAATAAAATTTTTTCATTAATTTTTTCAATTCAGTTACTCAGAAGATTATTAAAATAAGAGAACTGATATCATTTAAAGAGATAAAAGCGATGATTATTTTCTAATGAGTTATGTTTACAACTGTTTCTGCTATTAATTATAATTTACAACAAAATTCAATGCTTAATATAATACATTTCTGTTGATAAGGATCGCGTAATTATTTCTTTGAACAACCATCAAAGATTAAAATAATCTTAATAATAAGTATACCAATTATCACAAATTCTTCATTCTAAAATTCCATAACTTTTTTTTTATTTTTAGACACATTTTCATTTTTCCTAATATTTCCAATAATATTTTAGAATATTTTGTATTTTCATCCTGATTGGGAAACCATTAAATATTTTGTTGAGAGATCAATTTAAAGCAATGTAAATTACTATTAATGTTGCTGACACTACTTGCTAATTTCTAATTGTTAAGTTGGTAGTACTCCAAAAAGTGTAAGTGTAATTTACGTATAAATTATTTAAAGCCCAGAATTTTAATTTTTCAGAAAGTTTTGCAAAATTTTCCGATTTTTCTCTAACTTCCTTGACCGTCTTTAATTACAATTTCCCGATTCTCCTGATTTCTAGTTTTGTGGCAATCCCGTACCTATACTTATATTCATACGAAGCATTGGAGAAACAAGAAAATTCTAAATATCAAGTAATCTTGAATAAAAATCTCCGATAAAAATCGCGGAGAAGAAAATATCTTCGTCGAAGAGAACGAAAGTTTCTGTCTTTCTCTTTATCACATGCACTAACGATAATAAAATATCGATGGATGCGCGAATACCCGGAGCTCGCATGAGTGCGCCTGGCCGTAAAAAGCCGTTCAGATCGCAGCCATTTATCTACGGCGTGATTCATCTCTTTGACTGCGGCGCACGGTATCTTTAAACGTTTTACCTGCTACCGGATTCCCTGCAGCTAGTATACGGTGCGCCGCCAGTCCAAGTAACAGCCGTCACTTTGTCGGCCTTTGTCACGGGGATTATGCGCCGGGTGGCAAATTATGACGGACACCTTCACGCCCAGGACACCCTCTAATGCGCTGGCCACAGAGTCGGCAAAAAGAAAGAGGGAGAAAGAGTAACTGCAGAGGGAGAGGGAGAATTGAGAGTCTTCTTAATATACCTCCCGTATATATACATATATATATATATGTTTCTTGAGAGAAAGTTTAAAATTATGCAAAAATATTTCTGCAGAGATTGAAATTTTAACAGGTGCTATCGTATTTAACCATAGCGTCACTGTATTGTATTAAAAGAGAAATAATAATTATAAATAATAATTAAACGAGCAACAAAATCAATGAAAATTTTTTACTGTTCAAAAATCAATCTAGTACAATTCGCATGATTGGAACAGTTGATAGAAATTGAGCATGTGCAAATATTTTGAAGAAATATTAAATGGTACTGTAAAATTAGATTTGTAATCTATAGGTTATTAGAACAGGTTATTTAACATGCAATTGACATGAAGTTTTAAAATGGAGTTTGACGGTGTAATTTAATATTATTTGCTTATTGTGCGCATTAAATTTCTAATATTCATGTATGTATAAATATAGAGTATTTATATAATGACATGATGCCAAATACAATAAAATTTATTGTATTTGGCATCATATGATTATATAAATACTTCACTTTACAGTTTGTACATTTTGAACAAAAGGCCACAAAAATAGCAAATTCTCTTTCACTTATTCAGTGAATAAATAATAAATTAGAGAGAGGAAATTTGCTATTTTTGTGGTCTTTTCTTCAAAATGTACAACTGTGAATATGTTTTATTTACACATATATTGTTATCTATCTGTTTATATTATAATATTATTAAAAAGTAAAAACATTTGCATTGCGGAAATCGATACCAAATTATAGCTTTAAGTTTAAGGCGGTTTTTCAGATCTCTTTCTTTCCATAGCTCTTAAATACCGAGAAATACCTTCGCTCAGAGCACAACATAAAACTACCCCTCCATATTCAGGCCGACACCCCAACGAATTGATTTATGGCATAATAAAGCGGTTAAGTGCAGAGTAGAAGCACCCCCGTTCGAGTCGTCTACTTTATTTATGACCTTCCCAAAAGTTTCGATTCGATGCGGATTCTCGAAATCGCTGCAAGTCCGTCGCTACGCTTTTCCGATAATTTGTGGTTACGCGAAAGGTACTCGACGGAAAGAGGACATGCCACTTTCGGTCAGCTTTAAGTTTTACAGTAATAGAGGGGTTGTTGTCTACCCCAGATATTTAACATCGGCGAACCATGAAACACTTCCCACTTGTCCTAAAAAAAGAAAAAAAGAATCCATAGTATACCATATTACGTTGATATTTGGAAGTTGAATCTCTCTCTTTTTATGGATTGATAAATGTAAAAACCTAGTCCACAATTCGGAAAAATTCTTTTTATCGTTCTGATAAAAAGATACTAATTGAACAGATAGATACCAACAGACAATTGTCTTTCTATAGTATCTTTGACTAATAAAAATAAAAAGACAAATGTGATTTTAGAATTATTCAGCGCCTGAAAAATATAACATCAAAAATCAAAATTAAATTCTGAATAAATTTATTTATCAGACATCAACTAATCTGAAGAGCTTTAATTGTGCGATGCAAAATATTGCTACATATGCCAAAGGAATTTTACACAATTTTTTCAAAACTACGAAAATATATAAGAAGTTCTTCAATTTCTACTGAAAAGTATGATATATGAAACGATTGATAATGATCATGTTTCAATAAACACTGTCAGTACTGAAAATCTATATATTGTAATTCACGTTATACCACATATTTTCAGTATTGCGGTATGTAGAAACAAGACCATATGAAGGGCTACGATGCATGATCGGTAGGATCATCCGCGTTTCGCATATGAATCGTGTTTCTTGTAAAAAAACTTCCTGCCGATCAATGTTCGTGACTGAATCATGACATCGCGCAGCGCGTTCTTTTAACGATCACGACGTAATGCGGAGGAAAAGGCAAGAAAAATAAAGTTCTTCTTTTTTTTTGCTCTCATTGCTCTGTACGAAGCGGAATCTAATTCGTCGTTTGCGGACCATTATGCTCGATTATAATTGCGTCGCTACAACGTTTCTCCTTCCTGCCATCCACAATGTTGGCGGCAGACTTTCATCTCAGACCGAGATCGAAACCGAGCTTCTGTTTCCGAGGTGTTTCCGCCGCCGGCTACCGTCCTGGATGCTGGAACTTGATCCTAAGTAGTCGTTTTCGTGAAAGAGGGGCAGAAGGCCGAGGGACGTTGTTGTGGTAAAACGCGCCACCGATGGATATGGTAGCCGGACGCGGGATAGAGAGGGAGAGTGGCGCCGTGTAGCTCGGCGTCCTTCGTTGTAGTTGTTTTTTTAAATTATTCCCGTGGTTACTCATTTGTTACGTGTTAGTCCGGTCGCGAATATATTTGTATAAAAACCACCAAAAAAAAAACGAGGAAGAGTTCACGCACCGAGTTTGCGGATATTAATTTTTAAAACGTTTCATAATTCCGAATATATTGTATTTATAAAATATTTGTAAAATATATAATCGACTTATCGAGATTTCACACGAATTCCAGATTACGCTATATTTAGCGGCATCGATTCTGACAATAATCGCCGAGGACAAACCGACAAATACAGTCTCTGTTTCCTCGGTTTCCTTGGATTCACCCGTGGAGTATCAAAGCAACACAATCAGGAAGGTGATGAGCTACTTGGGAAAATACGGGCTAGATGATCAAAGAGCCCTGAAGAGAGTGTATCTAAGCAACAGGTCGATCACTTGCAACGATGGATCGCAAGCAGGTTTCTACCTACGAAAGTCTCATGGCTCCAGGCGGTGGATCATGTACCTGGAGGGCGGCTGGTATTGCTACGACCACAAGAGCTGTAGAACCAGGTGGATGCGGATGCGGCATCTGATGACGTCAACCCAGTGGCCCGAGACACGCGACGGTGGGTCTTCGATCGCTTATAATTATACGTCGCGCGGAACGAAAACGATTTTCCGCTCGTGCATCCAAGCACCGAAATTCGCGCTGCGTCATAAATTAATTTCGTGGTGATCGTCCACGCTGGACGCATATTTTTGAATGTTCATATTGCTCCTCGCATTTTAATAATACATGTTACGTGCGATGTGGATCAACACATAAGAATATGCTTTATTATGCACGAATTATTTATTGCACCGACGACATAAATCATATTTTTTTATCCAACTCATATCAGAGATATTCTGTACCTTTATTGCGATATTAATGTACAAATGTATATACATATACTTCCATTATTGGATGTTCTTTCAATTGCATAATTTATTTAATTAATTGATAATTCGTTTTTAATTTTTTAAATATTTCTTGATAATTCAACCCTAAAATAGATATTTATGAAAAAATATTTAATTAAAATTAATAAAAAAATTTTGGTTATTTATTCATTATTGTAGAGATTTAATTCACAAAAATTCTAGAAATTTTAACAGACACACAGCTACCCGATTTCTTTTTTAATTTGTTCTCTAATATCTATAACTGCAAGGCAACAGGTGATCCTGTACTATTGTATTGCTTGATATTGCTTGATATTGCCACTGTCGAAATAAAAATATTTACAATTTTTTTAGTGGGCGGGATGCTTTCACCAAATCCCGATGAGAATCCATTCTTTTGGGGCACGAATCACGTGTAGGTATTGTCCATGTAATCGACCTCGTGTCGCCACATCACTAATTATTACATCTTTACATAATGATGTTGTTGTTATTCCATAGTTTCGTTCCATATTGCACGAGCGATAGCTGGAGCGGCACTAGAGTCTTCAGGTCGCCGAATGATATGTTTTCCTTCATGGGGGCAGAGATCGTAGTCCAGGTTATCCGAGACTTGGTTCCCCTTGGCCTCGAAAACGCGAGCGCCTTTCTTTTGGCTGGTAGCAGCGCAGGCGGCACCGGCGTTATGCTGAATTTGAATCGCATTCACAATCTGATACATCATGAATTGGGTATGTCGCAAACGATCAATTATTGCTCCAATTAAACGATTCCCGACTCATTATTAATAATTATTGTCATTTTCATAATAATATATATTTCTCATTTGACAATCAAATTATGTTAGGCAAATCGATAATAATTGTTATTGTATGAATCATTTACATTTGTTGTCAATATCATAAACGTAGAATTATATTTTAATTTATCTCTTCAATAATTTCTCTTATTAACACTGACATTAAGACATTGCATGATTATAAGAATTACTTCTTTATATGTCATTTTGCATTTTAATATCTATAAGCTTTAAATATACATTTTTCGAATTGGTACTTGTATATGTTACATGTAGATACACACAATACACATAAAAATTTTTATGTTAACATTGAATGAAATAAGTCACTTATATAATATTGTAGAATATTTAACTCAAATTAATATTTAATCCTCTTCTCTATATTTGAGCTTGTCAATTTATTTTATTAAGTATTTCGGTTTTCTTCGATCACTGACTATATGTATAGGTCAATTATTAAATAATAAAATTTAACTATTCGCGCAGGCTTGAGACACGTTGCTATACGTGGTGTGTCGGATTCCGGATGGTTTCTCGATAGAGCGCCTTACTCTCCAAATGGCTTGTCGCCGATCGATGCGATACAAAAAGGGATGGAATTGTGGAACTCTCAGATGCCTCGTAATTGTGTAATTAGATATCCTAACGAGCCATGGAAATGCTTTTTTGGATATCGACTTTATCCAACATTGTCTGGTGAGTTCATCTCATATCATGAAAATTTCAATAGTATCTAAATGGTAATGTTTCGAAAAAAGAGTTTAAACTCTCTCTTCTCTCTCTCTTCTTCTATTATTTAACATCCTAGCACCGTTGTTTGTCTTCCAATGGATATTTGATGAGGCCCAAATGAAAGCTTACAACGTCGCTGCACCAGTTACAAGGCAGCAATGGGACTACATACATAAAATGGGTGACAGTCTGCGGCAGACATTTGAAAATGTTACTGCGGTCTTTGCTCCGAGTTGCATTAGTCACAGCGTCTTGACGAAAAGAGATTGGAAGATGGTCAAAATAGATGAAGTTTCCTTTGCACAAGCGCTGTTTTGTTGGGATCAAATGCCGATCGGAAATTATCGTAACAACCAACACAACAAGTAAGTATGAATGGAATTCGTTGTGGCAAATGATCGCCGGCTGAAAATATATTCAACGACACCGCGTTGTTTGTTTGCGAAAATATTTATCGAAGCAGTTTCTTCGGAATCATCTTGGTAAATAAATCAATGAAGATCGAGATCAATAACGATCGAGACCTCGAAGAAATAATGTTTTTCGTTCTGCTACAGTACTCACTCGCAAATCGAGACCAATCAACCGTGCGGGAAGTCACTGAAAAAGCTATTGCGTTCTGGTATCAGAAAGGGAAATGGTACCTCGATCGAAGGTGGAAAAAGCAGAGTTGGATCCTCTACGGAAACACAAAAAGCTCGATTGTCTGCCATTGGTAAAATGCAGGAAAGAAAGCCAGTCTCCGGTTCGGTTCAAGAGCAGGAAAATAAGAAGAGACGAAAGAGAAAACATAAAAGCAGAAGGAGAGAGAGGAAGGAAAGAGAAAGAAGTAAAGAAGAGAGATTGAAGAAAGAGAAACATCAGCGAAGAAAGAACACTGGTATGGTTTAGCAATGCACAAACATGTTTTGAACCTTGCTCAATAACAATCGACATTCTTTGAATAATTCCGAGTTATTTCATGCAATTTTATAGATTGGTCGAAAACTTACTTGGTACTGCGTATAATTTCACGATAATATTAAATTTGTTACTAATATAAATATTTATTATTAATTTAAAAAAATAACTTTTTTTTTATTTTTATGCGGTTTGCACAATGATTTTTCGAAATTCATTATATACATTTATATATAGATATCTTTTTGCAGGTCGTCGCAAAGGCGGTAAACAAGTAAACGGCAATAATCATACGGCTATATTTAACGGCATCAGGCCGCAACGATCGGTAATAGCGTCATTTAAACGGAAGTGCGTTAAAAACTGTCATTTCCGTATGATCGAGCGCTGCACTTGGCCACAATGTAACCATAGCTGCCCCAAGCTGCATAATCCCTTTACGGGCGAGGAAATGGACTTTATCGAACTGCTCAAGAGCTTTGGTCTAGACATGAAAAGTGTCGCGAATGCCCTCGGCATCGATATACATACGTTGAATAGTATGGATCACAATGAATTGCTGAATCTTCTGACACAACGCGCGAATTAGCAAGACAATCTGTCGTAACGATAATGCAGAGTTTTTCTGCTTGCTTTATCAATCTTTCTGTTGGCACGTCTAGAGTCAGAGCTCAATATTTACATACAATTTTAAATATCATGTTTCAAGTAACGTGGAACGGTTCGTATCAGCTATCTCACTGGTACCAATGTTACAGTACTTAAATTAGAGAAGATATATTGCTGGTAGAAATTAAAAGTATAATGAAAAAGATCTATCAAAATATTAAAAGTATAGATATCTATACTTCTTTAACAAAATAAATTTTAAATGTTCCCGTAGTACAAATAATTATACTAATGTAAATTTGAATAATTGTATATATACATATAAAACGCATAATTATATAATTATATAATGTTATACAATATGATACATATATGTATAATAATATTAATATAATAATAATATAATAACATGAATTATTGTATTATTATATGTTAATATTAAATAATATATAATTATAATTATGTAAAGATATGTATATACAAGATGACATACCAAATCAAGCTTAAAAGAAATATATTTTTTTTTAATTTGATAAAAACTTTGCATATATCTTTGGTTTGTATGTCTCTGTATATTATTGACTGCCAATCAATTAAGTCGATAAATTATTAACTTTGCTCACATAACATATAAAATGTATAATTTCCTTTTCGTTCGACAGCAATAATTTAACGAAATGCTTAAATAGAGACGCATTACGCGTTATTAATCAAATATAACGCGTTTAACCAAAATGGATGTATATAATTTCATAGAGATGCCTCTTGTGGTGCGTTTGCAGGACTCGCTTCGCTGAAAAGACGAGAAAGCCGAGAGAATGGAAATTTCGATTGGCATTTTCGCCGATGGACAGGGGAAAACAAGAGTTCTAGCGTGTAGAAAGTGTATATTTCATTGTAATTTGTACGAATTATCTTAATTTATTATAATTTATAGGTAAAATAATCGATCATGTAAGTATGTTTTACGAATTAATTCGTACGTTCATGGCACAGAGTTTGTCGTTAAAATCAGAAATCGGGCGAAAGGCAGAACCTCTCTAACTTTATATATCTGTTCAAATAGAATTCTTTTCATTTCGGTCGTCTTTTGATTGTCTTTTGTTAAAAGATCCTTTTTTTAAACATATATTTCGTGTTCATCATATCATAGATCAATCACAAATTCAGATTATCATATCATTTAGATCGGAATCAGCGCAACTCAGTTATATACACGAAAGACTGTAAGGATCTTCCAATGGTAAATAGGATTGATTCTTTTATGTAACGTCGGAACGGAAATTTATCAATAAACAATTGACCGACCGACAAAGCAGCTTCATAGACTGATTAAATTATCTACCTCAACGAATCAAATCGTATTAATGTCCTTCATGTACTATAATTGTCGACTTAGAACATCAATAAGAACAGTGTTACTGTAAGTTAATACGCGTAAAGTATATATTGTACCTATGTCTTCAACCATGTAATATAACTCTGCCAAGGTAATAATGTTATTTATTTAATGTAGTATTTAGTATGCGATAATTGCAACGATATGTATTTTTTGTCGTAGTACACATATACATGATATACGATATTGATAGTACCAATGAAAAGTATTGTAATTACGAAAATGATTTATCAAATAATTTCTTTCCTGAAAATATCTTTCATATCTAATCTATTTATATCTATTACAATAGAAATAAAATATTAAATACAAAACTGTAGATTCATTGAAGATTGAAGATAGAAAACATAATATTTACTTTTATCTTTCTTCAACGATTTAATTTGTAATCGTACTCACACGCACTAAAAAAAAACCTCAAAATTAATCGTTAATTAATTATTCAATTAAAGTGTTGATAAAAGCGTAATTAAATGCTTAAACTAATGTTTAAAAATGTGATTACTTTTCATTGATGTGATCGATATACTAATGATAAAAATTATTCGAGATTTTATTTATTTTTGTTTTTTTTTTTAAATTGTGACCCCGTCTATGCGAATGCGATCAGAATAATCGAGATTTCAAAGCTTTTACTTACATCCACATATACTGTAACACGTAATATTATCTTTTAAAAAGCATGACATTGTAAATAAATTGTATATCTGTTCTATTGAATTCTTGATGAATTATTTATTCGTATTCCCGCATTTTAATCCTACACAAATCAATAATAATATAATCATCTTTAAAAATATATTGAAAAGATGATCTTGTAAAGACTTTTTCTTATTGAATTCATTAATCGAGTTAAGTTCTACAAAAAAATATATATGTATATATACACACACATACACAGCATTAGTAAAAAATATTAGGCACTTTGTTAACCATCATTTAAAGTTTTAGCTTAAAAATGACATTTGCTGTAAATTCTTTTAAGAACCCTTTAAATTTGTGTATAATGTTAGTGACTAGTAGATAACAATGTAGGTAAAAGAATTCCTGATAAATGAAAAAATATAGGTGCCTAATATTTTGGATCAAAGCTGTATATTGCACTATATATTACAAGCCAAGTGGAGCTTATACAACTGCGACTTGTAACATAGTCGCGATTGCGTCCAATCCCAACAAAATGTAGTTCTACCATAAAATACCCTAAAATGTCATCAGTATAAATCGCAATCTGTAGCCTCGATCTATATGTAACGATTAATCTGTTTGCTCTCACGACGCGTACCCTCCTGACATGCAGTGTCCCCTGTGCACGATGCACGAGGGCGATAATTCAATGTAGAAACTGAATCCGTTCTCCCAACCTCCACCGATCGGTCGGTTGGATTCGCATCTATTGCCAGCTCTCTCCCTCGAAACTATATATTCCGCGACGGCGTATGCAGGAAATGGTATTTAACAGGCCAGGCCGGGTCCGACCCCGAGTGTACGCACGTAGCCGATAGTCAATGTGATGGAGAGGCGGACGTAGGGAAGAGAGAAGGAAAACGAATGAGTACTGGTCCCTCCTCATGTCCAATTGACGCGTCCGAGGAAGTGACGGAAGGATGGAAGCGCAATGTACTTGAACGTCCCATAAGCGGGTTCTACATTAGACTACTCCTGTTACCGGTAGTAGTTCGTTCGACTGCCTATCGTTCAGTCGTCGGGTTGTCAGCCGAAGATCACTGCGCCATTAGCAGTGGTCCATCTGAATTCGTTTTCCATACGATTCCCACTCTGTGTGTTCCAAAGTTTCTCGATGTGACGATAATGTTTGACCTGATCGAGAGATTCTCTTACTCGTGACAGAAGTAAGACAATCGAAAGAACCATTATTACCAAGCGCGGAGGATTATATATATTTTTAAAACTTCACGCGTTTCATAAAGGCGTTCACCAAGGCGAATCAGATCAATATTTGTTCATTGATAAAAAAGTAATTAAAAATAAATTTTGTTATTAAGTTTTATAAACTCTTAATTTTTATAACTTTGCTTGAATTTTATATAATAAAATAATGCGTAAACAGTACTTCTTATTGTTGCTCAACAAAAAAATCAAAAAGAGAACATCATCCAATTCTCTTCGAAGCTGAGAAGCAAAGTAAATAATCAATTTACTAAATTAATTTAGCAAACTATATACTGTAAAAATCATTATAATTTGTATAAGTTTCAATATACCTTTTCATTACAAAAGTTAATTCGTGATTTTTTTTTCGGGATTGTGATCATTTTATATGAAACATTTTTTCGTGCACTCGCAATCTCTGCGCTTGTATCGTCGATTAACACTGGATCACACAATACAGAACTGTTGTTTATTGTTTCTGCAGAGGAAGAGAAAGCGCGCGGAAGTACCTAACTAGCATCATAAAACAACTCGTTTGGAATAAAATTGGCGACAACTGTCGACTAATCGTCTCCAAACTTATATTGATCCGATTCGCCACGGTTTATCCTGTAGGATAATTTTTCATTCGCAGAGAGAACGGAATAAATTTTCAAAATGTAATGATGTTATATCAATGATATAGATAAATCTGTGTGATAGCGAATTCCACTGCTGCTTGAACTTTAGTCGAAAATATAAAAATAAAATTCGATATATTTTCTTACAAAAATTTTTTTCTGTATCTTTTATTGTTTTTCTTACGATCCTTCAACTTTTGTAGAAAATATTCTTGACTCTTCAAAAAAGAAAATTTATTTATAATTATTTAATGAAGATTTATAACGACAACATAGTTGTGTGAATAAGTTGTGAATTTCAAAAAACTTTGAGCTCTTTGAAGACTCTCATATCCGTTATGCTCGGAGAAATCAGAAACTGTTTGATTAAAACACGAGTGCACAATATTTGTTGACATCGGAAGATCGGAGGCCGTATACAAAGAAGTTTGGTTGAAATCTCATCATTTCAATCATGCTGAAAGGAATTGTTCTGCTGATTCTCCATGTCTTCTGTGACATTGGTGAGATTAAGCTAACTATCACGTTTCATTACACTGTTCTTGCACAATGTTTATTATTTTAGTAGAAATGCAAAATAACTATGTGTTTAAAGCAAGTGTTTTTAAATACTATTTTTTAAATAATTTGAAGAAAAATTAAATATTATTAAAAGTATATAAATATATGAATAAAAAGAAAATATATTTTTACACGAAATATTAATATATTAATTTTTATTTAAATACTGTACAAAAAGTATGAAGAATGTAAAAAATATAAAGATAAATTATATTGTTAATATTTATATAATTTTGCATTTCTCTATATTTCTTTATATTTGTATGTACGTATTTACTCTTCATTTTCTCTTTCCTCCTCCTCCCCCCCCCCACTCTCTCTCTCTTCCACAAAAAACTTACCTAATTGTTTTGATATACAGGATGTCCCACACCTAATATGTGATTATCTCTTATATCTTTGTAGGATAAAGTCAAATAAAAAATATATTCAGTTAAAAATTGTATGACCTGACGAGGCACATATAATATCGATTTTATAAAAAATTTATTTTTCGTTATATGTATG